CACACACACACACAAAGGGAGGGATAAATATACTTGCAGACAAATGTATGAGTGTAAAATGATATTTGGGTTTATCTGTGCAGTGCAGAAAAACTTTGTACAGATTGTAATTAAAATTGTAGGATAATCAAATGAACATTTATGCTAAACTTATTTTATTATGGCAAATAGTCTGTGCTGTTAGTTTTAAGCTTTATTGTTATTGAATAGTAGTAGGCTATTGAGACAACAAAATGCAGTTTAGTGTCTAACAGGGGCAGATCTAGATTAACATTCATGGGGTGGCAAGAGGGTGGCATGGAGACTTTAAAGGGTGGCAGAGATATATGCAGATTTAACTTTAAAGAACATCACTGGCTACAAAAGCAGGAGCACTCCCATAATATGTGAGGCGACGTTACACCATGAACTTAACACTTTTTATGCTCACTTTGATTGCCTCAACAAAGCTGTAAAGTCTGCTCCTGGACTGGTAGCTGGGTAGGTGCCACTGCAAGTCCCTTGAGCAAGCACCAAATCCCTAACTGCTCCTAGGGTGCCACAATGTGACAGGTTTGTCCTACAGTCCAAAAAAGATGTGTAGTTTTCTATTGAATAAGACAAAGAAAAGCAGTAAATCTTCATATTTAAGAAGCTGCGACCAGAGAATGTTTTACATTTTTGATCGAAATTTGACTAAAAAGATGACTAAATTATCAAAATATGTGTCAATGCAAAGCTATCTCTATTATATATAATTATATATTATATAATGTGGAACATCTTATTATTATTATTACTGACACATTAATGTGTAAGCAAAATTTTTAATTTTATAGCTGGTCGAGGTTGAGCTAATTTTAGCTGGTATTTATACTGTCGGGTAGTTTATTCTATAATAAAGCCATTACATTTTATAGGATGATCATTTGTTTTAATCTGAAATGTCACTGTAGCTGTACGATTAAAACAATTGGAGTAAAAAGTACAATATTTCCATCTAAAATGCAGTGGAGTATAATTCAAAAGTAGTCAAATAAAAGTACCCATTGAAACACAGTACTGAGCAAATTATACTTTTACTCGCTGTGTGTCATTATCATTTCTGTGTGTGTCAGAAAAATTAAAGACAAATATGGAATTTGGATTAATTTAATCCCTGATGAACAACATGCTTTGGCTGTGGATTAAAAAGCATCATCACAGTCAGTAATGCTGTGATTATTGACAAGATGAATATGTTCGTCTATTATTAGTATTCGTTAGTCTAATTCTGCTCCTGCAGCATTGATGTTTCTTCCACAAACAGTTTTTTTCAGAGATTGGAAATATGATTCTAAGGCACTCGAATGTGTGATATTTTGTTATTTTTGTCACTTGACCTTTGGAAAAACATAAAGTGACGAACAACTTTGTGAAGGTGCATTAATGTAACAACTGGATCACTTTTTCTATTCATAACATCTTTTAAAGCCTTAGTGCCAGTTGTGACATTTTAATCAGTGTTATCTGTAATCTCTTTTAATCAGTGTTATCTCTAATCTAATTATATCACCCTCTGTGAACTTCAGGTAACATATAAGACTTGGGGCCTAAAGACTTTAGCTTTTAGATGAATGATGCAGTGCTTTATTATGAGGACCCAACATACCATAAATGTTTGTGAATTATATTTGTAGTAATCTGAACCTACTGGTCAACAATTAAATATGCACCTATGCAACTATCTAAAAAAAAACAAAAAAACAAAAAAAACCCTGCAATTTCCTAGCTTGGGATCAATAAAGTATATCTATCTATCAAAGAACAAACTCTTACACACAGTTTAGAATTTATCTAAAATTTAAGGCTGTAATGTAATGTAATTCTTTTTTTTATGAATCTGACAAAAGCATTCATACTTCAGAGGGTGCATTACATTAATCCAGATCAAGGATATGCCCTGATATTATTGATTCCTGTGAAAGATGCTCACAATCACCTTATAATCTTACACACATGTTTTGGTCATGCCCAGAACTGGCTGATTATTGGAATAAGTTCCTTAAAGATCCCCTCCAAACATATTAAGACATATATAAAAAGGCATCTACTCATCTACTACCTCATAAAATCCACTTTATTTCAGAGATATTAGAGCTACGATTAAGCAATCCCCAATGAGTATCATTTTTGCCATTCTTGAAGAAGGCAATGATTTTTTTCACTGAAACAAGCAAATTAAACTTTATTTACCTACCTGATAGCTTGCAGGAGAATAGTCCTCCACACTTCTTGGTTATGCGATACTATGTCTTCTCTAGACCTGGAAAAGGTAAAAAAGGGCTTCAGTCACTGGCAACCCTTTACTTCCTACTTTGAGAATTTATCCTCTCTCTCCGCCGACTAGTTAGTTAATATCATCAAGCCTAGCTATTATTTTATCATTTTTCGTTATTATGCATTCCACATCACTGGACTACATATTTATTTTATGTGCACTTATGTGTCTATTTATATGTGTATCTATGTAATATATATGATTGTTATCATTATTGGATGTTTGGGTCTAATGAGTTCAATAAAAGTTCTAATAAAACTTTTATACTCTTATATCTCTGCTACTGTACAGCAAACATCGCTTAATTAAAAACATAACAATTGTTTTAGTTTTCAAGAATAATTGTGAATA